ATTTCGTCATCTTCGAAAGACATGAAAGAACGAGTGCAGTCGTAATCACTTTATTCTGATTCCGGAGGGGATTTGTGATCTGATGACATGTCCAATCGTTCAACAGCTTCACCAGCTTCCATGAATGCAAAGTTTGCGATACAGAGGAAACAACCTGCACATGCCTTGACAAGAAATCAGAAAGCACAGCTTAAATGAGGGCGCTCTTGGTATTAGTTACATACCTGGAACATTCATGTGGTGAGAAGAAGTTTTTTCGGTGACAGCTTAAATGTGTACCAAAGGGGAACCTAGCGGAAATGATGCCATAAATCTGTCACTTCATGTTAGTGTTCTTACCCTGGCATTCATAAACATCCGTATTACTTGTTTATCAACAACTTAAATAGCAATTGATCATGAGTGATGCACCATGCTTTCTGTTGGCTCAACAGACTGCATGCAAACTTAATTTCCTTTCATTTTTTATGCAAACATTGATTTCTTCAAGAAGTGGTTTTGGATAATCTTATCAGGCGTTGATTTCGTTCCGTTCGTATTCGAAGTGGCCGAGTGTCGTAATGGCAAAGACTGGAGCACTGTTGGTAAATAAAGAGCCTCCGGGTCCTGCTCCAATAATTCCCTTTTTCATTTCACTCCTTAAACAAAAACACAACAATCAGAAACACGACCATTTTAAAATTAAAAGCTTGCCATATCTTACTGTAAACATTCTTCAAAGCGAGTGCTAATGTTCGCCCCACAATGGTTTAAACTGGTAGTCTAATTATGTGCAAAGTAATTAGTCGATATGATTTTTCTCATGAATTCCTTTCACATACACTACTCAAAAAAGTTAAAGACCACTTTTCATTTTGTGTATCTTTTTTTCATCTGAGATATTTTACTGCTGAAAGTGTGCATTAGTGTGCGATGTTTAAATTAATTAGTGATGTATACAAAGGTTAATTGCGGTAATCCAAAAGGCTAAGCACTCACGCCATATTTTCTACCATTATTGTACAATGTTATGGAAGATGGAGTTGTTTTTCTTCTTTGATTGCCAGTGAAAAATTGTTACATTTGGACATCTATCTGTAAGTCTCTAACAGACAGCCATGAGTGATAGTCACGCGAGAACAATGAAATTAAATGTAAATTACAAGTTTTGACCCTCTTTTCAGCTGATTTCACAATGTAGCAGGACTGCAGCGTTACGTGCATGACAAAATAACTAGACGGATACGTGAAGAACAAAATTTGTTGGGGGAGGGGTTCTTTCACTCATTGAACTTTTGACACTAAGCGAACAAAACTTCTTTACCAATTTGACACTTTTATATAAGAATTTTAAAACCCAAACATGTATAGAATATTGATATACATTACGCGTTATCAATTTCAAAACCGGAGTGTGGGAACTCGATACGAAATATTTACCTTAAGTGTAAGGTGAAATTTGTGTTTAGTTGCAGACCGCAGTGTCAACAGTGTACATATTACAGATCAAAAAGTCAAAAGGTTCTTAAGCACGACTATTGCAGTATATTAACGGACGGGGCTTGGGAAAACGATGGAGAAGATATGAAAAATAACAAACGTTGCTATCAGCGGCGGGCACTGCATTTTCATCCCCGGGAGCAGCTAGAATGATCATAAACCTGAACA